AATTGCGCGATTGAATCACCAACATCTGTGAGAATGGTATGTTGGAAATGGATAAGTACGATTAGAGTAATTACGACCAGTTTGTCGGAAATGAAAATCTCTGGCACATGAGCTATTTTGTGTTAAGAAATATTGATTATGAAAAGACTTCAGGGGTCTCAAAGAAGCAAATCTCGTGTAAAAATAGGAGGCATTTGCATAAAGTACCGAATTTCGCCGAGCCAAGCGACTGTGCACATCTTGTAGCGCTTGGAGAGCTCTATCAGATGAGTTCTCCATGTGAAAAAAATGGAGGCGCTTTTTTTTGGGAGAAGGGTGAGAGGCGCGTAGAGGTCTGAAAATAAAAAAGTCACAGCTGATTGTAAAAAGTATCAAATTTGAGGTTGATGGAACTCTCACTCATCAGAGCGACGACTATACGTATCTTGTAGTGGTAAAAAAGCTGGATCAGATAAGCTTACCTATTTGGATAAAACGAGGGCATTTTTTGGAGGTTTTAAGCTCTGAATGTAAAAGAGTTAGAATTATAAGTCCTATTTAAGTTAATGGAACTCTCTTATCACGTAGGAAGAAGAACAATCCAGTTCTTCCCAGCGTAATTTTTTGCGTAAAATGCCAGTAATGTTATCAACGAACTGGTCCAAGTGCTTAGCAGATGATAAAAAAAAAAGAACAGGTCGTTTAGTCGAAATTACGGTCGTATACTCTCGTAGTTCCCAGATCGGTGCTTTGAAATAATGTTTTATAGTGAACCTTCAACGTCACTGAAAAGTTACCATTAAAAATTACTTGTGGATTATTAGTTTCTTCCCTTTTCGAGGACCTTTTTGACGAAACTTGGTTGTGTAAGTTTAGTCAGAAATGGTTTTGGTCATTCTGGGCCAGTTATCTGGTATTGCCTGATGGTCAGTTGAGTGGTATTGCCTGATGGTCAGTTGAGTGTTTGTAAAAGAGACACAAGTCGCTTTCGAAATCCAACGAGTGATTGGTAAATTAGGAGGATCGGACGTATGCGTAAACAAACAATATAGGTANTTAGTCAGAAATGGTTTTGGTCATTCTGGGCCACTTATCTGGTATTGCCTGATGGTCAGTTGAGTGGTATTGCCTGATGTTCAGTTGAGCGTTTGTAAAAGAGACACAAGTCGCTTTTGAAATCCAACGAGTGATTGGTAAATTAGGAGGATCGGACGTATGCGTAAACAAACAATATAGGTAAATGCATACAAGTAAAGTGATCGTGAGTAACAAGAGATAACAAAGAGTTGGTTGTTCGAGGGAATAGAATAGATGTAACAAAACTGGATGGTGACGATGATTTCTATTATTATTATTATTATAATGTGGTTGTGTGAGCCTGACGGATCGCTTCATATTGAATTGTACAATCCACAATCAAGTTCAGTAAGCGAATCGATAGCTAATCAATGCAGCTCAATCCTCTTAATCTTATATCCAGCAAGTAACATACTTGTTCTATACGAGTAGTTCAGTGCTAGCATGTGTGCATCAATCGTTAGTTCTAGAACGCAGCTCCATATTTTACCTGCAATTCTTCATCAGGAATACGGATTGCATTTTATTTCTGAGCACTTTCATGAATGCAAGATAATTCGACCTTATTTGAGTGGTTATGCAATCTCAGTCGAATTCGACCTACCCATTTTATCGTCACTACGTCTTTATATGATAACTTATAAAAGAGCCACTTTCTTATGAACCTATTTTCAGTACAAGCACATCATTGCAACAACTGAGCGCATGTAAAGAAATATTTCGGAATAGAAATTTGTGAGACGCATGGAGGAGTATGGAGTTGAGAAGTGCTTCCGACAGAAGACATCACTAAATGGTGACATAAATGACAATGGCACTGCTACTGAATGCAGTGACAATAATTCACAGAATGATGAGGAGGATGAATCAAAATGGACACTCTATTCAGCATCAGATCACAGCACAAAGGTANATTCAACCATTTTATTTATTTACCAGATATTTCATGACGTTTTCATCATCATTAATATTCTGATCACTATCCAAAATATATGCCATCGATATTGCTTCATCAGAAAAGAATATGGAAGATGAATTAGAAGTGCACATAAGATATTCGAGACTCGTAATGATGTTTGCGCATCAATCGAATCAAATTGTCCCATGTTTCATGACAGTTCGATGCGGCTCAATATCTGGACGGTTTCTATTCGACAGCACATCAAGATTTTGCTATGCAAACTCTATTATTCTTTCTACCTGGGATCATATATTGGTTACCTCAAGAAATACATACTTTACTCGATTTAGGAGCAGGTTATGAGCAACATATCTTTCCTTACTGCTGATCTCTATCGGTAGTGAAGTTTTTATATTAATCAAGCAAATATGAGTTGAAAGTTACCACATATGAATGTGAAATTTCAAAGATTCACTATCAGTAATGACTTAGTCGCCTGAATGAACGAATATCTTCAGAATGGGTGATTACAATCCTCATTATTATCGTATTCTGTTCATGTACAATCAACAAACAGCCACATCATGTACATCACCGCAGCATGTAGTTGATGCAAGGATATATACAATCTATACCAAGTATTGTAGTACTCTAAAACTGCAGTAATGCATAAGTGTATATTCAAGATATGAACCCAAATCAAATTTTTGTTTTCAGGTCCAACAATCTATGTACCACTCATATTTCGACACCGCAGCAAGCATATATACAGTTCGGATTATGCACAAATAAATCGAGATATGCTACGAGATTGGATTCTGAATAAGTGTTCGTTCAACTGGATAAACATCTGCGAGCATATCGCCTCCATCGAATCCACATCACAATCTGCCTACGAAATGCAACAACAAGCCAGAAATAAAATGCGTGCTGTCCTCAAAGTGCGTTTTTATATTGATCCATCTAGCTTACACTCATGGCATCGTTAAAATGTGCTTGCTTCTAAACAGCTTTCGGCCTTTGAGAAGGTATTCAAGGTGTTGTAGTTGGTTGATGTTAGTTAATGCTCACAATAGAATTGCGCAAAGACAGGTGGATGTACACAGTGACGAAGTGATACAAGGAGTATCGTTCCGCGTGAATAACAACGAATCAGTTCCTGAACAATTCCAAGTTGTTGTGAGTAATTTTTGTTTGGAATACACCTGTGAGACATTCGATGGGTATCGAGAGGCAGTCAGAGGAGCTGTGAGTTTGATTGAACCGAACGGATACTTGGTTGGTGTTACGCTTCATTTGTGTGCTATCGTTAGCAGAAATCGATCACTCTAGTACAAAACGTTGCATTCAAATATCTGTTGAACACAATCGTTAATCCAACTGAATAATAACAGCAATCATTCATTATAGATACAAGGTGGTGTTTTGAATGCAAAAGAATATTCATTTGGCAGACGTCGTTTCAAATGTCATTCGTTATCGAAACAACAACTCGTTCATGCCTTAAAGGTTATCATAGCGCAACAGCAGCCTTCTTATGGCCTATCCCTTAAGCGTTTGGCCCTTCCTTGTTCGTTTCCTCTAATTCTGCGATTGGAAAAGAAGACCATTCCAAGCAGAACTCGTGGAAGATTAGAACTCAAATGATAAGAAAACGTTACAGTATTGACTGACTGGTAGTATGATTAATTTGTATCATCATATTGATTAAATTCATCTGCTATGATTGATTCGTTAATGAGTCACATTAACCACAAGCTCATTGTCTCAGCTTCTGCACCTCCTCCCAGTGATCACAGCACGTTTATTCCATCGATCAGTTCAAGTGTACCTTGATCTAAGCCCTTTTGCATCTCATCGAAGCTCAGTTTCTTTAGCGCTCGTTGAGATAAGAGGAGAATAGTGCATCACCATGTCAGGATCACTAAATACGTTGTTGAGACAGGAATTAAGAAAAGCGTTGTTTCGAGCAAGAGTTATCATTGCAATAACGATGCAAGTGACATTTACTAGCTAGAGGCTTGCAATGACATTGTTGAGTAAATGGGTTCGATGAATGAATAAGACAAGTATTGGTCAAATCAGTAAGAAAACTTTCAGGAGAACGGAATGGAAACGGAAAACGGCGAAGGTTTCAAATTGATAATCCACGACGATGTGTTTGTTGTGTTGTCGAGAAAACGAGATCAATAGAAAATGTGCCAGTAATTCGTGATGATGCGTCGATTTGGAATTAAAGCTTGATAAAAATGAATCTTTGAATTTCTTTCTGTTATCTTTCAGTCTTCTCCAATGTCCATGATGAATCCGTATTTACAGAATTATCTTCAACAGAAATGCATTTCACATTCAGTGGGGGATAGATCTTGGTTATCAGATTATTGAAAAATTTTCCGCTCATTGCGTACATTTTAATGCTGAAAATTGAACGTTCTCATTTGTTTGATCAACATCAATAAAAACTAATCGATTTCCACTTATCCAACTCTAGACACATTTTACTCGATGAACAAATGAATAGGTTTACATTTTCATCTTTAAATTCTATGGGGCCGTCGATATAAGACTAGACTTGATTTATGTTTTGAGAAACGTTCATTTAGAATCACTTCACAAACAAAACAGATGTTTGTGTAAATGCTGATCTTCCTTATCGATGTCTCGAAAACAACAACCTTATCGATTTTCATTCGCATTATTACACTCGTGATGCTTTCGTGTTTAAGTTGACTGAATCAAACGCTCGTGTTACTGTTCGAATTTAAAGAAATGTTATGTGTAATGATATTGATAAATTATTGCTATTATCATTGTGTTGAAAATTGAATTGTATCATAATCAGGAAAGAACTGAATTAAGTAAAAATGGAAAAGGAACGATGTGAAGCAGTGTTACATTCACCAGATGATTATGAAACTCACTTTGATCCAGAACAATATTTGGCACATTTCTTCAGTAGGTATGCCTGTTTGCACTCATTTGTCTCATCTGGTTTAAATTATCGAAAGAATTCAACACTGACTAACCTACAGTCTATAAATGATGAATTACTATGCTATGCGATATTGATATCAAGATTACTATGCAGTATGAAAATGTGATATTGATAAATGCTACAATGGGAGAATTGTTTTAGTTTGTTGGTGAGTCTCAACTTAAATGAATGTGATACTTGAAGGAAAGCGTTATCGGACGGAACACGATTAAGTTTATTCGCATTACCGACGTTCGCACGGATGATTGAGTGCGAGATGGCTGAGGATGAACGGATGAGTCTATGCGATATTGGGTCTGGACCGACCATTTATTCGGCGATTTGTTTCCGAAGCTGTGTGAAGTCGATAACGTTGACGGATTATTTAGCGAAGAATTTAGACTGTATTGATGAGTGGATGGCTGGTAATGAAAACGCTTTTGATTGGACACCGCTGATAAGCATCGTTACTAGGTTGTTGCAAGTTACTGCTACTCACCCGCTACAGTAGTGAATTGTGCCTCGAAATACAACTGAATACATTGGTAATCATTGCAGAACGGAGGGTGAGTGTCCAGTAAGCGAAAAAGATATAAGCGAAATCGAATCAAAAGCACGTTCGTTGATACGCTCCGGTGGTACTTACCAAGCCGATATCACTCAAGCATTTCTCTCCAATAAACACTTCATGCAAAAACAATTCGATATTATCGTCTCTGTTTTCTGCCTCGAATCTGCCACAACTGACTATCAAACTTACTGTCAGTCTATGTCCAATATGGTATCACTAACATTCATTGCATCATCCTCATCACCTTTACTCATTCATTACCACCAATCAGCATGAAAATGAACACTTCAGTTGGAGTTACTGCGTCCGGGAGGACGACTGATCTTGGGATCAGTGGTGGAAGATGATCGATACATGAGTGACGATTCGACTATGTTCTCGCTGTTGTCACTCACCGAAGATGAGATTTCGTTTGCTGCACAACAAGGTGGCTGCGATATGAAGAACGCCAAAAAGATTGCTCTAGAGGATGACGGTGTTATATTTTTCATGGCTACGAAGCTTTGAATCTCATATCATTATTATTATCGTTTGCTGTTTATTATTATCATTTATCATTACATATTATCATCCTGATTATTAGATCCTATTATGAATTATTAATTATTATTATCATTTGTGTATTTTGTTTCTATCATTATTAATGATTAGTATCATTTCTATATTTTGTTATTATTATTACTGTGATAGTTACTAGTATCATTAATAAATATTATTATTGTTATTATTATCATTACTATTACTACTATTACTGTTATTATTAGTACTATTATTATTACCACTAGTAATATTATTAATACTATCACTGCCACTGTAATTAGCATTATTATTATTATTATTATTATTATTATTATTGTTATTATTATTACTATGATAGTTACTATTATCATTAGTAAATATTATTATTGTTATTATTATCATTACTATTACTAGTATTACTGTCATTATTGGTACTATTATTATTACCACTAGTAATATTATTAATACTACCACTGCCGTCACTGCCACTGTAATTATCATTATTATTATTATTATTATTATTTAGCTGTCACATTGTTACTATCATCAGCATGGTTAATAGGTACGTGGATGTGAAGAAATGAGGAGTGTCGCAAAAGCCGCACTTTCATGAGTATGGTTTATATCAATTTATTGGTGATATTCGTCAGTCATGTTCGAAAATGATGTGCTTGTTGTGTTGATAACGTGTTCGAGGTGTATTCGATTCAAAGTCATTTATCGACTAGAAGATAAACCGTTTCTTGAGCCTTCATAAAATGAACGATGAACGACGACTATTGTCAATCAGAATAATTGAACTGAATCACTGAACATCAGTTCAAACTTAACAATATGCTCGATGCAATAGTAATATAATTTCGAGTAGTCGATATCGCCACTCTGAACGGCTGTCACGTTCAGAATCACAATAAACGCTGTTCCATCACAATGCTGTTCGTATTCTTTATCAGGTATATTACATTGAATCATGTTACATTATATCGTATTTGCACATCACCAGTTTAAAGCATTATGAAGCAATTTCTTTGTGTTATTTGAACAAGCATTACGAAGCACCTTCAAAAAATGATAATAATGAAAATAACTATTATTGATGACATACGAATGAAACATACATAACATTTCGCTCACTCATCATACATAATATCATTCGATATTATGATTGATTACTTCACTTCGATTAACTATACAGAAACTTGGAATGAGGATGACTGCATGATGTCATCTGTCGTACTACATACCTCATGTGAGAAAGGAAACCTTCAAAAGATTTGAGTTAATTTTTTGTACGAATCGGAGTTATTAATCTTACGGAGTTGATCGTTGACTATATTTATTGGTGTCTTGTAGGCAGCATGAAGTTGAATGCGACATACAGTTCTTATTAAAACATCGTTGAACCCATAGACAGTGCTTCGGTTTCTCAGAGAAATTTAAAAGAGGAAGTGGAAGTTACATGTATCGCTTGCGATTTCAATAATTTGTTTAATTACCGGTGTGCAATTTTGATTTATGTGGGAATGGCTGGTTCAGTAGTGAGGGAGGAGCCTTTGTGCATGTCTACGGGCTTTTAAATAGAACAGCTGTATTCATGAGCAAATGAACAACGGTAAATAACTCATAAAATAATATCAAATACAAAATTCAAAACGAGAACATCAATAAGTCTTTGGCAAAACAGAGTACACGTATTGAGGAGAAGCACTGTTAGCATCATCACGAGTGTGCATTACCACTGCTTCGAATATGGAATGCGATACTACATCTTAACGCCACTGAAATACCACTTGGTGTAGCAGTCCCGACCAGATGATACCATAAAATATCACGTACAAGTTCAATGTGAATTAATGTAATGCGATTAAGTGAAACAAACTGCGACGAGCAATTAAAATGAATCAAATTGACATTGTTTGTGACAGTTGCAATCAACCGAGCAGCGTTATCGCTCATCTTGAGCGTGCCTTAGCAGGACAGTGATGATGAAACATGACTGCGTAATGCGTAATACATGGATATTTGATTGACTCTAATCAAACATTAATAATAAATCAACTGATGATAATATTATAACACAATAAAGAGATCGTCGACTAGCTGTTGCTCCTGTTGTCAGTGTCAAAACCGATGCGGATGCCTTATGATTCTATTCCTGATCTGTTGTTCTCGATATGCACTCGCTCTTTCCAACTCGAGTTGTTCCCGTCGCCTCTGCCTCTGCCGCTCTTCCCTTTCCAGTCTCGTCTTCCTTCTTCGTTTCCTTGAAACTCATCAAATCATTTCGATTCCATTTTTATTGCTCATCACCAAAGATGTTCACTGATTCAATGTTGATTCACTACACGAATGTTTAAAAAAAGATTTACTCAGGGTTTGAATTTTTTAAAGGATGACTGCAATTCGAGGAAAGAACTAGCTGTATCGTTTTTTAGAGGGGATGTGGGAGGGGATGAGTGAGGGGGAGATAAGTTCCGCCTGGTTCTGAGCCATGATGAAGCGAAAATAATGCTAGTAATAAAGAGTGAGAGTAATGAACCTTCGATTGAATGGACTGTGTTGCATAATTAATTGGTGTTTGTTG